GCTCGGCAAGCCGCCGCCCGGCGCCGACGGCGCGCTGTCGTACGTCGGCACCGTGGCCGTCCTCGCGGGCAATCTCGTCATCTTTGGGCTCGCGACGTGGTACCTGCACAGCCGGCAGCAGCGCTGGTACAAGACGGTGCAGGTCGCTGGACTGCTCGTCATGGCGGCCGTGGCGGTTGGCGCGACGGTCCGCGTCGTGTTGCTGTCGTCGGCGTTTGGCAAGCCCTCGGTGACGCTCGCAGACGAAGACGAGAAGAGCTGGAGCTTTGGCCAGCTGCTGTCGATGCTGCTGCTCGTCTTGCCGCTCATATCGGCGGTGGAGATTTACAGAGGCGACGTGCAGATGGCGCCGCCGCCGGCCGAGGACGCCGACCGGCTGCTGTATGACGGCGGCGAGCTGCAGTCACGTCCGGGGAATAGGTTCCAGCCAAACCCGTTCTTTGGCTCCAAGACAAACTCTTTCAAGAAGTGAAACAAATGTGACTGGAAAAATAGCTTTGGATGCATAATGATTTGCAAATCGCGAATACCCCGACATGGTCATGGCCAGGTTTGGCTAGGGCAGTAATGGTAGAAGAACTGCTGCATTTTGAAAGGCGTTTATGGAGCTGGCACAAACTATAGCCATGATCTTTTTTCTTCTTTTCGCATCGTTGCATCAATGACACATGACATGGTTTTATCGCAAGTTTGACTTTGTTCTGCGACCGTTGGCGTCACCCATCTGATTAGGCTTTTGCTTAGACAATCATGTGTACAACCCGGCCTCGCAAGTATGGCTGCATCATTCCAACCCTGGAAGGGCACTCGCCCTTAGACTTGGAGACTCCTTTCAACATTCTTGTCTGTCATCATGTGAAGCAAATCAACATGTGTGGGTTGTAGTGTTCAACTCAATCATCACATTTTGGCAGGTTTCTGCATACTTGCTGTCGCTGTCACAAGGGCAGACGTCTCATCGCAAGTCTTGGTAACAGTTTGAGAAGCCTCCTTGCCTCCTCATTCGTAATGAGACCCGACTGATCTAGCTCGGAGAAGTGTCTGATCTGCAGACGGAGAGAAGAGGGAAATACCGACAGGTCACTTGAAGGTGAACGGGGGGTTTTGGACCAGATTTGCCGCATACCAGTCACGCCGATGATCTCCATCTCTGCTTCTAATCAACAATTGATCCACCACGTGTCACGGAAAACAGCTCATGACTTTCGGCTCTCGGCGTGGGTATCCCTAGCGGACGGCAGAAGCTACATTCAAGACACCGATTCAGTGATGGCACAGCACGGCTATGAACTGGTATATTGGTCTTGAATACATAAAGAGCTTTTCCTCTCGAATGGTGCGTCATGGGATGACTCGTTTATAGAACTATACACTTGGATGGTAAGCCACACGGGCCTGTTCGGGGCTCCTCTTCGCTCTCCCTCGTTTCTTTCCTCGGCGCAGCCGCAGTGTTGGCCTTTCCCGCCTGGGCTGCCGGCGCCTGCTCCTTGGTCGCACTACCATGTATTCAAGCGCCCTTGATGGCGTTGTAAAAGGCCTCGCCCTGGAGGGTGGCAATCTCGAGCTCCTTGGCCGTGGGCTGGCGGGAGCCGTCGCCGGCGGCAAAGGTGCCGGCACCCCAGGGCGAGCCGCCGTGCACCTCGCTCAAGTCGGCGAGCTGCGCAAACGTCTTGCCGTAGCCGAGCGGCACGTAATGGATGCCGTGGTGCGTGAGCGTGGACAGGGCGGCAATGGCCGTCGACTCTTGGCCGCCGCCGAGGGTGCCTGTCGAGATGAAGAGGCCGGCCTTTTTGCCCCAGTAGCCGCCAGAAGCCCAGATGCCGCCAGTCTTGTCCCAGAAAGTCTTGCAAATCACCAGATGTTAGCTGTTGCGCCGAAAGGGGTTTGGCGAGGGTCGTGGGGGAACGTACCTTCCACTGGGCGGGGAAGTTTCCGTAACGGGTGGGAATGCCAAACAGGAAGCCGTCGTAGTCGAGGAGCGTCTTGGGATCCTCTAGGACGGCCACGTCGGTGGCCTTGGGGGGAGCGTGCATCTTGGCGAGGACATCCTCAGACAGGGTCTCGGGGATCTGGTAAAGGTCGGCGGTGCCACCAGCCTTTTCGATGCCCTTCTTTTCGGCATCGGCCAGCTGCTTGATGTGGCCGTACATGGAGTACTAGTGTAGCGTCAGTAAAAGAAAGTATCATTGTCGTGCCGTTTGCATTGTAAAGTTGAAGCTTGGGGGGGAGGGCGCTAGTGAGCTCCGCGAGCCAAGGGTCGGACGGAGGAGGGGCAACGAGGGGCAGCGAGGGGTAGTGGGACATCCGGGTAAGAGGCGCGAGAACAACGTACGTAGACAATCGCAATCTTGACCATTTTGGCGGTGGTGCTTCAAGACACTGGTTTGATAGAATATGTAATAGAAAGTTTATACAAATAGGATGAGGATGGGAGAGAGAGGTAAACTGGCTGTGGCTACGGCGGGCGGCGGAGCTCTTATACTTTGAGCGAAGCTGAGCAGCCCTGTAGCTCGCAACCGAATGCAACCAATTTAGACGGTTCCAATTCGGGAACTGATCAGGGTGTCATCTCCACTGTGTGGTTGCATTTGTGATGATTTCTAAGAAGAAATAGGCTCAAATGGCGCTGTCTCGAGTACCCCCTACCTACTCGAGCCCGGGCGGGGCAGTGACCTACAAATGCGTACCTAGCCGAAGTACCCTAGCTACCTATTAGACGCAGTGTGCAAGATCCATGGCGTAATTGACCTGGTACGTCGACTGATTCGGGATTTAGGACCCAGACACTGCTAATTGATCCAACAAAGACCAAGCAACGTCGATGAGAAATCAGGAACACAATTCGTGATCCATTCAGATTACATGAACCTGACCAACCGATCCTCCCCCCACTTGCGATGCGCAACCGTGTGGCGGCATGGTGGAGCTGACAGAGAGCGGGGTCTCCACCAATTGGCAACTGCATGCATTTGTGAGCAGCGACTTGAGCTTAGCAAAAGCTTGATAAGCCATCTATCTGCCAGCCATCTGCCATCGCGGGCTGGCTCACACGGCTGGCGTACACGGCTGGCTGATGGTTTGGCAAGTTGGCAGGCACACAGGGTTTGGTAGGGCTATTCCCGAAGGAAAACTGTTGGCTCATCGACTAGGCTATGACTACTGATCACGATTTACGAGTCGTCTCAAGCCACACAAGCGTACGTTGAAACGTTTTCTCAAAATGGCTTGCAATCTCTGTATTTTCAACCCTCTCACCCCCCCCCCCCCACCCGTCTAGATGCTTCGCAAATATACCATAACCATCAACCGATGACCGCATTCAAACAATACAGAACAAACTCGCTAAAATTACCAAAATTCCAAGCAGAGCTTTGCTCATAAGAAAAAGAAATTCCATATCTCGTCACGTCGTATACACGCTGCTGCGTTCAAATGCTTAATGCCGCTCAATCACAATCTGCGGCACCGGTCTGGTGAAGCTGCCCGATCGCTGCGATCGACCCGCATCCGCGGGTGCCTGCAGCTCGCCCACCACCTGGCCGCTACTACTTCTGTCGCCCTCGGCATATTCCGGCGGTGGTAGTGCAGCAGCAGCAGCAGCAGCCTCCCTCCCAAGCGACGGCGACGCCTCTTCCTCGTAGCCCGGCGGCGGGGGGCGATCCTCGTCGCCCAGATCCAACGGCACCTCGACCAGATCTGGGCTGGAGCCCGCCAGCGGCGAGTCGCCGCTGCCGCCGCGCCCATACCTCGACGCCTCGCGAGAGTAGGCCGGCGACGGCGGCCCGCTGTCGACGCTCACAAACGAGCTTACGCTCCTGTTCCTGCTGCGGAGCGTCTCGGGCATCGCCCCCGCGGCGGCGGCGGCCTCGCCGATGCTCGCGGCATCGGCCAGCAGCCCCATGCGCTCGCTGTCATTGCTGCTCGCGCGCACGCGGCTGCCGTCGTGCCGCGCAACGCCCAGGTCCCCATACGAAACGGTCGACACGCTGCGCAGCCGTTGGCCCTGCGCCCGTGACGCGTCCTGTCGCAGCTCGTCAATGGCCTCGTTGCTCGCCGCCACCTCGTCGCGGGCCAGGCGCGCCCGCTGCCTAATGTCTGCCAGCGCCGCCCGGTCGTTGCGCGCGCGCGCCGCCTCGCGCTCCGTCCGCCGCTGCTCCCGCTCCAGAATCTGCTGCCGCCGCAGCGCCCGGATCTGGTACAGCGCCGCCATCTCCTCGTCCCGCAGCGCCTCCTCGCGCTCCTCGGTCGGCAGGTCGACAATCACGTCGACGCCGTCGCGGTCGCCCGCCCGCCCGAGCACCTGCTCGTTGGTGGACGCCTCGGCGCGGTAGGCGGGCAGTGTCATGACGGAGCGCACAGACGTGTGCCGGTCCACGCTGTTGCCGCCGCCGCCGGCGGTTTGAGCGGGCGGCGGCATCGTTACGGTGCTGGTGGTTGTGGTTGTGGCAGGGGCGAGTTCGGTCGTGTCGGCGCCTGTGGTCGACTCGTAGCCTTGCGTGCGCGATTTCTGCCGTTTTTGTCGCTTGGAGTAGCGTGTCATTGTGATAATCACAATGGCCACGGTGAGAAAAAGTCCGAAGAAGCCGCCCACAGCGATCTAAAACAAATTTGTTGATTAGCAGAGCTCGCTTAATCCGCCTAGCCCGCCATTACACATAGCTAATGCTGCCCGCTGCAGCCGAGTCTCACTGTTCAAGGTAGAATTCGCAACGTACTGCAGCACTAGGTACATCTCGCCGGACCAGGTCTCGAGCCTGGGTGAGGCCCTCCGCGTAAGCCGTTGCACGGCGGGAGGGCCCGGTCGGGAGGTGCATTGTGAATTTGTGATTTCGTCGCGGGCTCGGAGCTTCGCGGTCGGGCCTAGTGCTCGGAGCTTAGGAGCTTGCTTCGATGGGTCTTATGGCAGCCCCAATTCGCCGTCGATAATACTTAATTATAAGTCGAAGATGAAGAGGAAAATGTAATGATGGAATGGCAAACCATCACCAGCCACATTGCACACCGCATGTGCCAGGGGTATTACGTGGACAAACTCCCAACGAGGCCAAGGTCGCTGGGTGCCCACTGAGGCTGAGTATGAGTATGCGGCCGCCGGAGCCTTCTTGGCCACGGCAATTGTCGCAGTAAAATGCGGATCCACAGCTTTATTGATCTAAATCAAGGTCTTGTCTTTACATATATACGTTGATACGTGCAATGACAGGGCGTGCACTAGCTTTTATCCAACGCGGAACCGGCATTCCGCATTGGTCTGTTGAGCGCTTGACAACGACATCTTGTTCATCTAGAGGAGGTTCGATATATATATATGTGTGTGTGTGTGGCGGATGCGCACAACCAAGGGCGTCGTGATATCTACTGGTCGACCTAGTCACCGCAAGCAGGGCGCATCATTCCCGTCGGGTTGATATTGAAACCGGGGTCGGCGTCGATTCGCCTTAATTACTGCGGACGAGAGGCCTTAGACACAAGACGACACCACAGACTGCCACTTACTCCGGCCCCTCTTTTAAAGTAACGTGGGTCCTTCATCATGACCTCTCATCAGCCTGTTTGTTGGTTTGCATTTACATCATTCACCATCAGAACTAACACGCCATCATTTGCGTCCTCCGCTAAATACCTGGTATAAACGAGCTTCCATTCTCGTCCTTGTAGTGCTGAAACAGAGCACGCCTCATGAGCCCTCTCGGCGCACGTCGGCTCGTAAAAAGCCCGTACCTCTCCAGAACGATTCTTATTGTTGAAGAATATCGCACCTGTTGGAACAGAGCCGTCGTGATTGGTATGCCGAATGGGGATCGGGGTATTTACGGCTCCAATTGCACGAGCGTGACGACTCAGAGAGTCTGTAAGGGATATAACCTCTACCATGAACGGTAAACCTATTGATGCTCCACCGAAGCTGAGATGTTGAATCAGATGCTGGATGCTGATCAACGAGCTAGTAGATTGTGGTCGGTAGACGTGGGGCATTCCGTAGCCCGCAAGAGCTGAGCTGTGCATGATGGGTGACGTGCTGTAGTCGACATTGGCTCCAAACACATACAGCCTCATTGACAAAGGCTGCAGATAAGGCTTTGGTAGCTTGCATCGGTGTGATGGCCGAGTTGACAAAAGTCTCGCATGGAGAGTCAGAGACGTTCGCTGCTGATATTACAGTCAGAATAGGATTGAAGCAGCAGCAATGGGGCCGGTATTGACGACGACGGGCGACGGGCGATTTCACGACCCGCGAGTGGAGCGCCACAAAGATGCATCTCCATCTTCAGACGAGCTTTTCAAGAATTCATCTTACCCGTCGGGAATTAGGGCACAACGCCCATGTTCATGTCGTCGAGCAAACGCCATGATTTCAATTGACAGTATAATTCTGCGTACAAGGTCAAAGACGTTTCTACCTTTTGCGTCTGAAGTTGCCGGCCGCCGCGCCGCATGACCAAGCTCTCCTCTACCTTTCCCATTTACTCTTCGCACCCCCTCCCCTTCCCACCAAATGACGATTCTCGCGCTCAAGGAAGACCGGCCGACGCCAAAGGCCGTGTACAACTGGCGCGTCTACGTCTGCGCCGCGACGGCCTCGTTTGCGTCGTGCACCATTGGCTACGACTCGGCCTTTATCGGCACCACGCTCGCGCTGCCGTCCTTTGCGGCCGAGTTTCGCTTTGCCGAGTACTCGCCGCCGCGCCTGGCGCTGCTCAAGCAAAACATTGTGTCCGTCTACCAGGCCGGCGCCTTTTTTGGCAGCCTGCTCGCCTACTACGCCGGCTACTCGCTCGGCCGCCGCAAGACGCTGTTTCTCTTTACCCTCGTCTTTTTGCTTGGCGCGGGCTTGATGCTCGGCGCTAACGGCGCGCGTGGCCTGGGTCTTATCCTTGCGGGCCGCGTGCTGGCGGGCGTGGGCGTGGGCGGGTGCTCCAACATGACGCCTATTTACATTTCGGAGCTGGCGCCGCCGGCGGTGCGCGGCCGGCTGGTTGGCATCTATGAGCTCGGCTGGCAGATTGGCGGCCTGGTCGGCTTCTGGATCAATTACGGCGTCAACAGGACGCTGGCGCCGAGCCACTCGCAGTGGCTGATTCCCTTTGCGGTCCAGCTGATTCCTGCTGGCCTGCTCCTCATTGGGACTGTCTTCATCCCAGAGTCGCCGCGGTGGCTGTTTTCCAAGGGCCGTCGCGCGGAAGCGATATCGGGCCTGTGCTGGATGAGGAATTTGGAGCCAACTGACAGGTATATTCGGGAAGAAATTGCCTTTATGGACCAAGAGCTTGAGCGCTTCAATACCGAGGTTGGTCAGGGCTTCTGGCGGCCATTTAGGGCCCTGAAGGAGAGGAGAATTCAGTGGAGGTTTGCCATTAGCACAATTCTGTTCATGTTTCAAAACGGTAAAGAATTAGTTCGACTCATAACTAAGAACACCCCGCGCTGATGATGAACTAGCCTCTGGCATCAACGCAATCAACTATTACAGCCCTACCGTCTTCAAGACGTTGGGCATCACGGGGGCCAACACCGGCTTCCTCACCACCGGCATCTTTGGCGTAGTCAAGACGGTACTCACCATCATCTGGCTCCTGTTCCTCATTGACCACCTCGGCCGCCGCACCCTCCTCATGGTAGGCAGCATCGGCGGCTCCCTCTGCATGTGGTTCATCGGCGGCTACATCAAAATCTCCGGCACCACCACCACCGCCACTTCAGCGTCCAACGGCGGCAGCCTGTCCTCGGGGGGCATCGCCGCCATCTTTTCCTTTTACCTCTGGACTGCCTTTTACACGCCGTCATGGAACGGCACGCCGTGGGTGCTCTCCTCGGAAATGTTTGACCAAAACACGCGCTCCTTGGGCCAGGCCAACGCCTCGGCCAACAACTGGCTGTGGAATTTCCTGATTGCGCGCTTCACCGAGCAAATGTTTGACGCTCTGGGCTACGGCGTCTACTTTTTCTTCGCTTCGCTCATGATGGTTTCCTGCGTGTTTGTCTTTTTCTGCGTGCCCGAGACCAAGTCGATCCCGCTCGAGGCCATGGACCGGCTGTTTCGCGAACAGCCCGTTTGGCGCGCGCATGGCAGGGTCATGGCCGACCTTGAGCAGCACGGCGCGGAGCTCGAGAACCAAGCTGATGGTGTCGGGCCCGAAAAGGCTCATAGCGAGGAGCTTGAGTAGCTTCGCTGTTTATGGGGTTGGTACTATTGCGATGCATGAGACGATGTTGGATCAGAGAAGCGTCCGGACGATTTCCTACATTACGGAGCCATTCGAATACTATTTTAAATGAGTACTTTTCTCTCAAGGCTGCAAAACAACGAATGTGTTGTTCGATTCGCCGATGGTGGATTGCGATATAAAAGCCGCCATTGAAGCATCGCCAAAAGATACTACAAGCCTCTTTCGGAAGCGTAAGCGTTTCGCTTCAGCTCGTTAGGAAACTCCATGGTCAATATCCAGTGTGCTTTGCAAAGATGCCCCCTTTTTTTCATGTTTCCCTTATAACCTCGAAGCTAGACGCGCTGCTACCCGTGCGGCAATTGCCTCGCGCACTTTGGCGACGGGCAGCTCAGTCACGCTCTTGCCCGTCCAGTACTTGTCCTGCTCCAACCCTTGCCAGATCATGGCCTCGGTGCCCAGAATCACCTGCCAGCCCTGCGCCTCGGCGACCGCCACCAGCCTCGTAAACGGCGTCGGGTTGTAGCACATGTCCAGCACGGCGCCCTTGTGCCCTCCCGCGCGCGCCCGGGCTAGCAGCTCGTCGGTAATGGCCCGCGCCACACGCTCCTCTTGCGTGCGCGGCTCCAGGTCCGGGACGCACGCGACAATGGCGCCGGGCGCATCCTCGAGCGTCTGCGCCTCTTCGACGGTGGCCACGTGCTGCAGGCCGGCGCCGTAGCCGCGCGCAGCGCAGTCGCGCATCATGGTGTGCACTTCGGCGGCGTCGCGGTTGACGAGGTAGATGGTCGTGACCTGCATCCACTTGCGCAGGGCGTAGATGGCGCTGCGGGCGGCGCCGCCGCCGCCAATGACGAGCGCGGGACGGTGGTGGAAGACGGTCGCGGGCTCGGGCGACGACGAGGCCACGCCGTGGTAGAAGGCGTCGCGGATGCCGACGACGTCGGTGTTGGCGCCGCAGAGGAGGCGCCGGCCGTTGCGGCCCTGGCGTAGGAAGACGGTGTTGCAGGCGCCGACGTCGCGGCACTCGTCCGTCATCTCATCCAAGTGCGGTAATATCGCAACTTTGTTGGGCATGGTTACAGACGCGCCTTTTGGTGTTGGTATTGTTTTTAGCTTGGTCGCCATCTCAAAGAGGCCCAAGCCACGGGGGCGTGGACAAAGAGGTACGTACCGTAGAAATTGGGATGCTGTGCGAGTTGAAGGAATTGGCTCAGGTCGGCCGAGTCAAGCCGTAGCTGCGCCCAGTTCAACCCAAGGTCGTCGTAGATTATTTGGTGAAGAAATGGCGACCATGAGTGTTGGATATGTGTACCAAAGAGGTAGCCATGCCGCTCCAACGGTTTTTCCGAAGCATCAACGTTTCTTTCTTGTGCAGCCGTCATTGTGTGAGTAGTATTATCCCTTGTCAAGATATAAGAAAGTTGTGTATGCCGAGCCTTAATCAAAAATCTCCTCAACTCGGGTGGCCTGATCTGATGTAGAGATGCTGGGGGGGCCATGGGAGGACGCAATCTGAGAACAGCAGAGCACAGCACAACGGAAAGGGCCCGCGCTAACCCCCACGTCGTTAAGAACTTAAGATGGAAGCTCACCAGAAAAAGTTGAAAGGAACCAAGTTTCTCGGCTATGTGAAGATGCATAATCATCCAAGTGCAGGTGGAGTGGGGGTTCGGCGTCTGCCGTATGAATAAAACACTCACCCGGTGGACATGCGCGGGGGTGCTATCTGGCTGCTAACAACGGTTCATTACCCGTATCGTGGGGATATCTGATGAAGCATTTCTGCAACCTTGGTTTATATCCAGCTCTATAGTCTCAGATCCAAATGCGGACGGGACGCCTCGTGCGACTTACATCCACAATTTTTGTACAAGTCTGACTCCCCACTGAGAGCCTTCAGCCGCGATCTGGCGTGATAAATAAAATGTACTATTATCTGACTGATAATTCATTACACACCGATAGACCATATTTTCATCCATAACAAGCCGCCTATACTACACTCGAACTTTATTCATCCAACACCTTTTTTATCTGCTTCTTTTATTCTTCTTCTTTCAGCATTCCAGCGAGCAAAACACCACCATCCCCCCACATCATGGCCTGTAAGCCGAGCATATGCACAATTTCCCTGGGACGAGCCTTTGCAGGACATTCCCTTGAACACAAACTTGACATGGCTCAGAAATATGGCTTCAAAGGGATTGAGCTGTTTTACGAAGATCTCCAACATTTGGCCACTGTCATGCCAGGAGGATGCTCACCACCAAACCTGCTGGCGGCGGCTCGCCAAGTACGACGGTGGTGCGAAACCCGCAAGCAAGAGATTATATGCCTTCAGCCGTTTTTGCATTTCGGAGGGCTTTTGGATCGCAGCAAGGCCAAACAAGACCTCGAGACTGTTGCATTTTGGACTGATTTGGCCGCGACGCTCGGTACCGATTTAATCTTGTTGCCGAGCTCGTTCCTACCTGCCACTCAGCTCACAGACAATCTGTCGGTACTCGTCCACGACTTGCAAAACGCCGCAGAAATTGGTTTGAAAAAGTCGCCAGCGGTCCGCTTTGCCTTTGAGGCGCTGTGTTGGGGCACGCGTGTAAATGCGTGGGAGGACAGTTGGAAAATAGTCACTGCCGTCAACAGGCCCAACTTTGGCCTCTGCATCGACACTTTCAACATTGCCGGCCACATCTTTGCCGATCCCGCCGCCTCGAGCGGGTGCAGACCTAATGCCGACTTGAGTCTCAAAAGCTCAATGCAGCGCCTCATGGCGCAGGTCGACGTTTCCAAAGTCTTTCTCGTGCAGGTTGCAGACGCCGAGAGGCTGGCGAAGCCGCTGGACGAGGCGCACCCATTCTACGACGCGGAGCAGCCGTCGAGGATGAGCTGGTCGCGCAACTGTCGCTTATTCTACGGCGAAGACCACTTGGGCGGCCATCTGCCCGTCGACAAGATTCTGCAGACTGTGGTGCACGGGCTGGGGTATCGCGGCTGGTTGAGCTTTGAGGTGTTTCATCAGAGGCTGGCGGATAGCGACGGCGCGATACCAGAACATTTTGCGGCTCGGGCGTCGTGGTCATGGGCGAGGCTGGTGCGCGACCTGTCTCTTGAGTCAGCAAGGCCTCGGCCCGACTTTGGGCAGGAAAAGGAACGTGTTGTGCTGAAGGATTCCAACACGAGATTATGACAAAGTGTATCTGGTTATATGAATAGCAATCTACATATGTGTTGCTATTTGAACATGATGTGCTCTAAAGGGAACTTATCAAAGCTTTTGTACTTTAAGGCTGATTTGTAATCATTTCCCAATCTTGTATCAGAATAATTTACATAATGGTGCCCGATTGTGTCGTCGTTCAAACTGAAAATCGTTCAAATTTCCGCATTTCCGCGCGGATGACACCCATCACCCATGGCATCTGTAGGCATCTGGTCGGGAACAAGTGAAACAAACTCATCATCAAAGTCGCTCATTACTTTATCCAAACTTCTTCTCAAACCTCTTCAGCATCCCAGTCACGCCATTCTCCAGCTTCCCCGCCTTCTGCTCCAATTTACTCTTTGTCTCCTTCTTCGGCTGGTACGGCTGCATCTTGGCCGTCATCTCCACCTCGGTCGGCCGATATACCTGCTGATGGAGCGAATAGTCCAATCCCCCATTTTGCGCCGGTGTCGGATTGTTATAGCTATAGTTGGAGTAGCCTCCGAGCGGCGGCGGGAGGCCTGCCGCATTGGTCGTGGGCGGCGTCGACTGCGCCGGCGCCGGCGGCTGTACTTGCGGCGGCGACTGCGCCGCGGTGGGCGGAGGTGCGAAGCTCGGCGGTCCGGGAATGTTGGCGGCGAATGTGCTGTTGAGGCTGGGCGATGCAAGGCCGGCCTGCACGGGCATCGTCTGCGCGCGGTGAAGGCCAGGCTGCTGAGGAGGGCCGCCGAAAGACGGCGGTGCCATGCGCGGGCTGATCATACCGCTGGGAGGAAGCCCGGGGCTGGTGACTCCAGGAGGAAACTGGGAATGAGTATAGGCTGGTGTGAAAGGTTGTCCTTGGTAATCGTAAGCAACAGCGACGGCGAGAGGATTCAACGGATCTTCATCTGGTGGAGGCGTCTTTTCGCGATGAGCGACAGTCTCTGGAGCCACTGGCGCAGCTGGGTTGTATGCCATCGGAGCAAAGCTTGCCGGAGCTTTCGGCGACTGCTGCTGCTGCTGCTGCTGCTGTTGCTGTTGCTGCTGTTGCATGTGCTGTGGCATCGGAGGCGGAGGTGGCAAGTTGTCCATCGACAGCCCCGTGCTTGCGCTAGATGGAATCACAGCTCCATTTTGCTGCGTCGACGTCGCCGAGTCCTGGCGCTCAGCGTACTGCGGATCCGAAATGGCGACATTCTCAAGATTCTGAACGACAGCGCTTACAGCGCCAGGCTGAATGGCGACGGGCTCGTCGAGGACCTCGACTTGTGCTGGCGGCAGGACCCTCCGGACGCCATTGACAAATTGCAGTGCGTCTTTATCGGTCCAAAAGTATATGTCGAGGGAGTGAAGCTTGTAGTGATATTTGTTCTCGTTGCGAGGGTCGAAGGTGGGGAGATGCCATTCCTCTGGGGGAGCGTGCTGGGGGACAGTCAACGAGACCATGCAGTGCTGCTTGTAGGAGTATCGGACATGACTCTGGTCCAGAACTGAGATTCCAGCTTCACATTAGCAAGTTGGTTTTGATGAAAGGTCACCGGATGCGGCGACTCACAACCATCAAAGGCGTCTTGGTCTTCAGTGCCAGCATTGTTCGCGATCTCGATACGGCAACGGCGCGCGTGCGCATTCTCAAATAAATAGACATACGAGCCCTTGTCGAAGCGATGATGACGCGGTTTCTCCTCCTCGCCGCCGTAAAAATAGTGAATGTCGCCGAAGCTATGAAACATGTTAGCGACCGCAAAGCAAAGGACGATGACAGGTGACATACAGGGTGGCCACAATTTCTTCCCCCTCTCTTGCAGCCATTTTTGCGACAACTCAGGGTGCGTATTTCGGCTCGATTTAAAATGCGCAGGCTAAGTAGTGAGATTATACAGCAGAAGCGCAGCGCAGCGATAGCTGGTCAAAGACGGAGTCGCAGGAGGCAGACGTCACGCGGTTTCAGCAAAGAGCCAGAGCTGGTCGTGTCACCAGAAAACAAACGTCTTGCTCCATTTCTAGGCTGGCAATCAACTTATATATGTACGACAATGTCGCAACAGCCTGCCCGCATTGGCGTCGACCTGGGCGCTTAAATGCATCTTGGAGGGGTCGTTGTGTCCAATGAGAGAGATGTGACGGAGCGAAGCCAAGTTGATCCCAGCATTCTGGCGGGGCCCTCGAGGGGTCCCACCACTGCCGATGAGGGGAGCTTTTCTCAGCCTTGAAGAAAATCTAAATTTGGCTTCAATTTGAACCCCATCAAACTATATGAACATATATAGAATCTTGGCACAATATAGAGTAGCTTGTTCGCTCAATATTCCTGACAACTAATCGCAGTTCAACAGTCTCAAAATCTCTGGCCGCCGCCCGCCGCCAGAATCATCGGTGCTAACCCCCAGTTGTTAAGCCTGATTTTTTAGTGCATCGCAGTGGCCTTCACAACGGAATCAACGCTAAGCTTAGCCCGTTACCTAAATATTCACGTGACAACGCGTGTCTAACGTGAACCCCTGACCGGACGTTATCCTTTGCTTAACGTGTCACCAGCTCAAACCCCGCGAATAGGCGGAATGGAAAAATGCATGGCGAATTTCGAACTAAAGCGCGCGCCAGGCACCCTATATTCCACTAGAAATGACGTCGCCAGAGGAGCTTCCGAAAGACGTTGTGGCTGATGACATCTTGAACGATGAGGGCAAAGTCGATGACGCCAAAGTAGCAGACGTTCTTGGTATCGCGCAAGATGACGACGAATTCAAAACGCTGAAATATCATCTTCTCGGCCCGTCTTTGACCAAAGCCGGGCAAGACTCTGTTGACCAGAAAAAGGTATGTCGGAGCCCTGCACACTGAACAACTTCGCCTGCTCACAGCTTCACCCAGGTTTCAGAAATCATATACAATGCTTCCAAAGGGTCTAAATTCTTCAACCGGGAAGAAGAGCGCGACAAGATTCTAACACAAAAAATCGACCGCATTTTGCGTCGCAAAAAGGAACTGGACAAACTTGACCTGACCCATGAGCGCCTGAGCGCCGACCGCCTCATTACCGAACTTGAGGCGTCCCGCGACTTGACGCAGCACATTGTTCACATTGACTGCGATGCCTTTTACGCTGCTGTTGAGCAGCTCGACCGGCCCGAGCTCAAAGATCTGCCGTTCGCCGTGGGAGGCGGCGTGCTTACCACGTGCAACTACCTTGCCCGTCAATTTGGCTGTCGTTCAGGCATGGCAGGGTTTGTCGCAAAAAAGCTTTGCCCGCAACTCATCCTGATCAAGCCCAACTTTACCAAGTATACCGCCAAGGGCAGGGAAGTGCGCGAGGTGCTGGCTGACTATGATGCGCGATTCGAAAGCGCAAGCATTGATGAGGCATACCTGAATATTACCGAATACTGCGTCGCTCACGGGATGGGTCCAGCGGAAGTCGTCGAACAGTTGCGCAAAGAGGTACATGAAAAGACGAACATTACCGTTTCCGCAGGCATTGCCGCCAATTCGCGACTGGCAAAAATTTGCTCCAATTTCAACAAGCCAAATGGTCAATACGTTTTGTCTCACGAGAGGAACGAAATTGTGGCATTTATGCGCGATCTACCGACGCGCAAAATCCCGGGCATCGGCCGCGTTTTGGAGCGCGAGCTTCTTGAAATTGGCATTAAGAATTGTGGCGACATATACGAACATAGACAATATCTTCACCGATTGTTTGGCGACAAGACGTTTGAGTTTCTCATCGGATGCTATCTTGGACTGGGTCGTACGAAAATCCAGCCTGCGGAAGAATACGAACGTAAGAGCGTCGGCACCGAGAGCACATTCCGCGAGATGTCGCATCCGACAGCGCTTCGCGAAAAGCTCCGAGCAACGGCGGAGGACCTGGAGGGAGACTTGAAGCGGGCCGAGTGCAAAGGTCGGACGCTGTGCCTCAAGATTAAGCTGCACACCTTTGAAGTATACACTCGCCAGGTAGTACCCCCGCGAGCGGTCCATCTCGCAGACGACCTGTATAATTATGCGCTCCCAATGCTTGCAAAATTGGAACAAGAGATGCCGGGCATGAAGCTCCGTCTGATGGGTTTGCGATGCACACATCTTGTGAGCACCAAGAGGCCCGACACAATGGCATTTCTGGGATTCAAGCCGAGGCGACTAGACGAAGCTACGCTTGCAGACTCGGCGCAAGTCAAGCGCAAGACAACCGATACTCTGGCTGGAGCCGAGGTCGGCTTTGATAACCCTGTCGAGGATCAGGATATCACCAGTCAAAGAGGCAGGGATGACGGTAGTGACCAGGAGCAGCAGCGGAGGCATGGCAAGGAAGTTGTGCCCAATCCGGAAAAGCAGGAGATGCCAGAGGAGGAATGGTGGGATTGTCCCATATGCATGCGTCCGCAGGCAGCGAATGAGCGCCAGTTCAATGAGCATATAGACTTGTGCCTTTCGCGGCGAACCATTCGTGATGCGGTGCATACAGATGGTGGGCCTGGCGGGAGCAATGCAAGCCTCCCAACCAAACGGCCACAAGCACCGGAAAAGAAGAGGCCGGCCAACAGCAAGACTAACAGCAAAGATCCACGGCAAAAGAAACTGTGTTTTGGATAAAATGAGATTTGATGAAGCATATGATTTATAGAGGAAATATTAATGTTTGCCGGCCTTGCTTCATGGTGCCATAAGTGTTGCATACCTGCCTTTGGCGGTAAGCGGTACGTGGACATGTAGAGGTGAATTGTACGGTTTAAACATAGAAGTGCATAGATGCCGCACGAGAAAATCCCTAATAAGCAGTAGGTGATTAGCGACTGAGTAAATTCGAACTTCCGTACGCAGAAACATTCCTTTCCCCGCAGATGCTGCGATACAAATGGTATCATTAAAAGTTATTCGTTGTTATTCCGTGATGGGATGGATAACCTACACTGCAACGACGTTTGTTATTTGCGAGAGCTTTGTATATGTTAATAAGCAGAACCTTGCCATTCAAGAAGCAGCCCCCATGGTCTAGTTGGTTAGGGCGCCGGTCTCATATCGATAGATATGACTCGTTCATAGATCGAGACATCCGGATATCGTGAGTTCGATCCTCACTGGAGGCACTTGATTTTTTTGATTTTTTTGGATGACTTTTTGCGCCTTGTACCTCTCCGTTCTCTTCTTTTCGTGTCCCTAGGTAATCATCAATGTTGAAGGCGCCATGCTTTTACTCCCTCAGTCGACCCAATACGACCCGATTCTGTGGAGTGCGCTGCTCGAGGCATAAACAAAGTCTTGGCTGTGTCGATCTCCTTGACAGCTCTTTGCCCCTGCTACCATGGCCATCTACAAGTCCCCTCCCGAATTTTGAATCTCTTTGACATTGCCATCAGGATATGCCTTTCTTCACCGACAGGCAAGTGGCGAAACTTGCAACCGCGCAAAAGCTCGGCTGGCCTTCTCCTCCAGCCCACAACCATCGAGCGGCATCAAGCCAACAAGAAAACAAAAGCTCACTTAATATACGAACTGAGAAAACCCGACTAGTTATCGCTCCCTTCCGTAACTGTCTTCGGTTGGGGCAAAGGAAGATATCGTCGAGACCGGAGCTGCCTTCAGAAATTATTTTTCGCAGCAATTCTCGACGCCATGATAGATATCAGTCGGATCCGAGGATGTTTAACGTAGTGGTTTATAAGTGCGAATGGCTAATTCATCGTACCGTGCTCACCGAGATATAGTAAGTAGCATGTCGTAACCAGTCTTAGCCCGTAGGGACGTAGCATCTGGTCTCGTTGACTCGCAGTCGAAATTCGAAGTGGCTAAGCTACAAACAATTGCCAATCCTGTCTTACCCTATTCCCTTGTAGATCGTTTCAATATTATTTTGATAATGCTGCTGTCCAGGTCGCACTGCCATTTAGTGGGGCTACACTCAGCCGTTCTGCCTGGTTCAGGCGAAATTTCCCACCCACCACTGACTTGGTCTCGACATCTCCTCTCCAGCGCTCGCATCATCCGTGCAATCCAGAGCTGGGCGCGCACTAGCAGGCTCTCTTGCTATTAATTGCTTTCAATTTTGAGACATCTAGCAGAACTTTGAAGGACTCAGAACATACGAGGCGGCTCTTTCCACAGAGCGCCGACAGATTCCCAGGAGTACGCATCGCGACACAAGCGTTTCGCAGTCCTCAGACATAGATCATTTCACCAACACAGGTTTCTTTCTAGTGTCTCGCTGAGCCATTTCGAGAGCAACCGCTCACCAACAAGATGGCTCGGCCAAGAGACTCGCGCTCACCAAGCCTGGCGGACAGCCACGGTGCTCGTCGACACCGTGACGACCGACGACCGCGCGATCGTGGCGACGACAGAGGCTATCGCAGGCGCTCTCGATCGCGTACACCCGAGGTACGCCAGCGGCATCTGCCCACTCATCCGCGCAGCAGGCGTTCTAATGCAGAATCACCTTCCCAGAAACGATATCGCGACCGAGACGGCGGCCGGGACCGTGATCACTATCGCCGACGAGATCGCTCCCGCTCCCTGGATAAGGATCACGATCGCTACCGCGGTGGCCGTGATAGGCGCCGCTCGCGAGACCGCTACGATGACAGAGCCCGGCCATCCGATGGCCGACGCAACAGAAGCCGCGACGACGACAGAAGGCGAAGTGGCTCGCGTGGCAGAGACTCCCGCGGAGATGACTCTCGAAGTGACAGCAGGGGCAGAAATACTCCACGCACAGACAGCGGTCGAAAACTGGATGAACCCCCCAAACAGACCGGCGCTACAACCGCCCAGGCCGATGCCGAGAAGAAGAAAGCCGAACGTCTCGCTAAACTCGAGGCATGGAAAAAAAAGAAGGAGCTGGAAGCACAAAAGCCAAAAGAGGTCAACCCCCTTCAAACTCGCAGCTTACTGGCAGAAATGGACAAAAAGTCCAGCGGCATACCCTCTGATGCTGCCTCGCCTGCTGTTTCATCGGGCGCCTCGCCCACACCAGGCCCGGACTCTGGAAATGCATCTCCTGTGCGACCATACGCTGGGAAGTTCGATCCTAAGAGCATCGCGAAGAAGTCAGCTGCAAGAACACATGATGCGACAAAATCAATCCTGGGTTCCATCAACCCTGAGCAGGGAAAATTGTCTGTGCCAGTCAAGCAGTCCACCGCATCTGCGCTACCGGCCAATCGTGCTAAGACGAGCGCTTTCGGATTTGGCAAGTCTCAGGGCGATGAAAAGCTTCCCAGCAAGCGCAAACTCGACCTAGACGAGGAGGAGACCACGAAACGTAAGCTAACAAAGCTGCCCAGCCTACCCGTGGAGGCAGACGACACACCATATGTTGACCAAGATGATGATGATGACGACAACGGTGACGAATTTGCTGAAAACGAAGAAGAGGCTGCCGCTGCCGCTCGCGCTGCGCACGAGAGGCGCTTGCAAGCCGAGGAAGAAGCATCAAAGGAAGCAGACGGCGACCAAGCCATGGCAGACGCTGCTCCAACTACCAATGGGACTGCCAGCATTGCCGAGGAAAATCAGATGGAAGTGGATGAGGAGGAGGACGATGTCGATCCTCTGGATGCTTTTATGGACGATTTACAGCACAAAGAATTCAAACGACCAGCTGCCAAAAAGGCATCTACAGTCAAGAAGCTGCCAGAACCCGAAGCTTACTTTAGTGACGATGATTACGGCTATGAGGTGGACCAAAACGACGCCGACGCTAGTGCCGTGCTGGCCATGACGAACAAGCGCAAGAAGAAGGAAATACCTACAGTTGACTATAGCAAAATCGACATTCAGCCCATTCGAAAAAATTTCTGGGTGGAACCTGTCGAGCTCAGCGAGCTCAATGAAACGGAAGTTGCGGAACTTCGAGCAGAGCTTGACGGCATCAAGGTCAATGGCAAGGATGTTCCAAAGCCTGTGCAGAAATGGGCGCAATGTGGTCTCACTCGACAGACGCTGGACGTGATTGATAACATGGGTTTCGAGAAGCCGACCTCAATTCAGATGCAAGCGATCCCTGCTCTCATGTCTGGGCGCGACGTCATTGGCGTCGCCAAAACTGGTTCCGGAAAAACCATGGCCTTTTTGCTGCCCATGTTCCGTCATATCAAAGATCAGCCTCCGTTGAAAGAGTCGGAGGGTCCCGTCGGACTGATCATGACACCCACGCGCGAGTTGGCTACGCAGATTCACCGTGATTGTAAGCCGTTCCTCAAGATGATGGGCATGCGTGCTGTCTGCGCCTACGGCGGTGCTCCAATCCGCGACCAGATTGCAGAGTTGAAGCGCGGCGCCGAGATTATCGTCTGCACCCCTGGTCGTATGATTGATTTACTGGCTGCGAACCAGGGCCGCGTCACCAACTTACGACGAGTGACGTACGTTGTGCTGGACGAAGCTGATCGTATGTTTGACATGGGTTTCGAGCCGCAGGTCATGAAAATTTTTGCCAATATGCGCCCGGATAAGCAGACGATTCTCTTCTCCGCCACCATGCCGCGCATCATTGACTCGCTGACCAAGAAGGTACTCAAGAGTCCTGTGGAGATTACTGTCGGCGGGCGCAGTGTCGTGGCCAAGGAAATTGAGCAGATTGTGGAAGTTCGGGATGAAAATACAAAATTCCATCGGGTACTTGAACTGCTCGGTGAACTCTACGATCGCGATGAAGACGCGCGCTCGCTCATTTTCGTCGAACGTCAAGAAAAGGCGGACGACTTGCTCAAAGAGCTCATGGTGAAGGGCTATCCTTGCATGTCCATCCACGGTGGCAAGGACCAGGTGGACCGTGACTCTACCATTTCCGACTTTAAAAAGGGCGTCGTTCCCATTCTTGTTGCGACATCCGTTGCTGCTCGAGGCTTGGACGTTAAGCAACTAAAACTCGTCATCAACTACGATGCACCCAATCATTTGGAAGACTATGTCCACCGCGCAGGCCGTACAGGCCGTGCCGGAAACACTGGTGTTGCGGTAACCTTTATCACGCCAGAGCAGGAAAGCTGCGCGCCAGGCATCGCCAAGGCTTTGGAGCAAAGCGAGCAGCCCGTTCCTGAGCGCCTCAACGAGATGCGCAAGGCGCACCGTGAAAAGGTCAAGTCTGGCAAAGCCAAGGACACGTCTGGCTTTGGTGGCAAGGGTCTCGATCGTCTCGACCAGGAGCGTGAAGCGGCACGAATGCGCGAGCGCAAGACGCACAAGGCGGATGGCGAGGATGAAGATGAGAAGAAGGAAGACAAGAAAGAAGAGGACGACACCAAGCACGAGCGCGCTCTCGATGCCATCAAAGCTGCCGCGTCTGGTATCCAGTCGCGCGACTCGGCCAAGGCCGAGCCTGTCGTCAACGAACCCGTCATCAAGACATCTGGCGTTGTGGCCAGCAATCCCGGCGCGTCCAAGGGCGGCGGCGGCGCCGGCAGCAACCCGCTCGACAAGGTCAGCTCGGCCGTCAGCGCCATCAACAGCCGCCTCGGCAAGGCTGGCCAGCTGCGGTCAGGCCAGCCCATTGACAACAAGGGCCCCGACGCGGGCGCGTTCCACGCGACGCTCGAGATCAACGACTTCCCTCAGAAAGCGCGCTGGGCCGTCACGAACCGGACCAACGTGGCCAAGATTCTGGAGAACACTGGAGTGTCCATTACCACCAAGGGCAACTTTTACGCGGCGGGCAAGGAGGTCCCCGAAGGCGCGGAGCCGAAGCTGTACATTCTCATCGAGGGTGACACGGAGTTGGTGGTGGGCTCGGCGCTGAATGAGCTGACGAGGCTGCTGAAGGAGGCCACGATTGCGGCGGCGGACGCGGATAGCAGGGCGCCCGCGAGCGGTCGTTATACCATTACGTGATTTTCTTGCTTTTGAGTTGCATTCGCGGCTGATTTTTCTGCTTTGGGCGGGAGTTATTTTTATGTTATCGTGAGATGGTTGTGGATTGTTCAAAAATGTAATTTTTATTGAGATCTTTTTTCTTTGACAAAGGTTCCAAGTCGTTGGCAAGGCGCGCCTGATGGAACAGTAGGGGCAGGACATCAATAGGAAATACAGCTCTTGACGAATTAATTTGCAAATACGGGTATCGTACTGAGACCAAAGAGACCTGCAAAATCTAAGAGTAACAATAGTCATGTAGAGATGTAGTTATGCATACGCGAAAAGGGGATATTAGTTGACCTGAACTGTGCCTTGTACAGCATCAATGTCATAACTCTGTGTGGTGTGAAAGCCCGTCTTCCAAGACCAGGCCGTGCGTTTTGGTCATTTCCCATCTCCAGCATTCAGTCGATCCGTCCCTGAACCTGCCTCTCATTCGCCTCAATCTCTTGCCTGCGTCTATCTTGCGCCGCAACCTCTTTCTGAGTCAGTACTCTTGCGCCACCCTTTTTCCTCTTGAGCGCCTCTTGCTCCTTTCTCTTGTCCTCCATTGCCTTTTTTTGCTCCATGAGTCAGCAAGCAACCACACGGGGGAGAGGCACATGTAGATAAATAGCCAGGGCAACTTACACTCCATCTTTCTCGCGCTTCCCGCGCGGCTTGTCCTGTATTTTGGCCAGCGCGAGGGCTTTCGTTGCTGCCAGCGCCGCTGCCGCCGACCACGCGGGCCTCGCTCTGGTATGTCTGCTTCGTCTTTGCTTTGGGGACCGCTGCCGTTTGCGCTTGAGGTGGCGCGGAGCCTAGACGGCGACCGGGACCCAGCCTATCCTCGGGTTCTTGCTTGCCGCAAATGTTGCCCATTATGAAATGCACGTTCTCTCTCTGGACGGGAAATGGAAGATGACGAAAGCAACCCTCGCTGAGGTTTTCTTGGCCTTGAAGTAAATCGGGGGTGGGGTGGTGGCGGTGGTAGGTAGGCCGCGTTGCTCCGCCCGCTTTGGGGGCGCGGCGCGGGATTCTGTTTAGTGTGGTTACGTCGCCATACAGCGCCAAGACGAGCGCTCAAAGATATAAAGAAGAAATAAAAAAAAGAAACGAAAAAAAAAGTATTGAGGCCGGCAAAGACATGGTCATTTTCGGTTCAACATTTATTTTGCGCACATGGCTCGTCCCATTGTAGCTGCAAAATAGTCTCGACTGTAAATACACTTGGCCTTGACGATGCACCCGCAGTCCAGCGAGCGAGCTTCTAGATGTCGGTGAATTATACTTGGCCTGTTTCGAGCTTCTCTGTCTAGCAGGAGCGTCCAACCTGGGGTCATCAGGCCGGTACACGCTGTTTATCTCCAAATAGACCAAATGGTATCGGATAATCTCAATCCAGTAATTGGCACAAGCTGCCTACGTAGGCACAATTTGTCTTGACTAATTACACATGCTGAGACACGTCAGGTTGGACAGGCGGCAACAGAGCTAGTTGTTCAAATCAAGAATAATGGAAAGAGCAGTTAGCTCTTTGAAAGATATGTCAATTTAAAGCTTAAACATTGTACTACAGCCCATGGCTTATGGGGCCATCAAAATGATTTGCGATGAGAAGCAGATCCACGCCAGGTGTAGTCAACAGGGTGGCTCATGGTATGTAAGAAATGCCCCCACGATCAACACTCCTTCGATTGTGAAGATATTCTCAGGACATAGCGCTTGGCTTTGCAGTGGCTTTAAGAAGAGACGTACCTGTGCGTGAAACATGGGCGTGGAGGCTGGCAAAGACACTCTTGTCAATTTCAGACAGCAGGAAATCAAAGGTGCCGAGCAGCCGCCACGAGTGTAAGAGAACTTGAGAAAAAAAAACGTATGCAATGATATTGTTACACTATGAAAACAAGATAGAGTACATGATCGCCTTTTTTTTTCCCCTTGCTGTTATTCTTTTTTTTATTCAGTCTTGTTGATGACGATCTTATTTAGCATTTCTTCCGAAATTACTGTCTCCATGTTAGCGGCCCCTCTTGTGCAGCGATATTAGGGTACCTACTTGTGGAAAAAGGTTCCAAAGATGCCGAGCTTGGCCTGCTGGTCGGACATGCTCTGACGACGGGCAGCGGCTTCGATGCGGTTGCGAGTGAGGCCCTCGTAGGCAGGCATCCAGCTAGAGCTCTGCGAGTTCATGTCAGCGAATGGACGGCAAACGTCAAATGATTCAAAATGGTCGGGCGCCGTACTCTGCGACGGGGTTTCTCGACAGTGGTGGAAATGTCTGGGGTCTGAGTGGGAGAATCCATGATGGACAGCGAGCTCTGGTGACGAGTTGTGAAATCGCAGGAGTAGTCGAGATGGACGGCAGACGATTATTATTGGTATATTTGATTTAAAGTAAGATGGATTACATGAAATGTAGATGAGAGTAATGATGGGATCGAAAAGAGGGGGGGATGCACGGCGTATATATAGCAGAGCTGTTCGAGTATACTGCGGGGGAGGGAGGCACGGGGTCTGGGGTGATTAGAAATGAACAGGCGATTTTGCTGGAAAAAGAAACGCCTGATGAGGGGTAGTTTATTAGGCCATTATTTGCTGCTGCTGCAAGAGTTCGATTCAGACAGGACAATGTGCAGCCAGGCGAATCGAGACGTTTGGTGGGTGGCGGCAGAACGAATGACGCGGGGAACCGGCCAGTCCGTCTAGCGGCAACAACGGATGGGGAAACTGATCAGCATATTTCACCAAGTGCGATTTTAGAGAATTGTCAGCCACTCAACTAAAGGAAAGAAGGCTAAAGGCCAGTAAAGAGGGTCACGGCAATTATTGGCGTATTTCGTTTCGTCGATTCCAATCGTCCACTAATCACAATCGAGTGATGATCGTGTCTATCCTTATTGTGGACTCTACAGGCCAATCGAAAAGCTGCACGAGCATCGAATCGAGCGCCCAAGTGTAAGCTTGACATGTTTGATATCCCGTACTCTACTATTCTGTATGATTGCACTGTGTTGGCAAAACCTCGTCGTTTATGGGAGCCATGTAGGCGAGGCCAATCGCAGCAGACGATCAGTCTCACTTGTATCCCATCGAGTTTTCATCAGCCTTACACCACTGCAAATCAAGAGCCGAAACTCGAGTTTCGACCTGGAAATTCGTCATCGGCAAGTCTCGTTAACCCTCAACGGTGGTCCAAATCGGGCGGTGCCCCGGCATGTGCCGATCCAGATTGCGGGTCATTGCCTCGATACATAGCCTCGTCGTTGATCGGGCCTTGGTTTGAGACGATGCCATGTACCTGCAGCCAGCCTCTATCTCCGCGCAATATTCACATTGAGCTCGAGATCGGGCAAAACCATGGCCAATCTGCTCGTCGATCTCCCCCTTGAGTAAACACTGCCACCGATTGCCTCATACCTCTACTTCTTCTCAGGCTTCGTCAAGGTCAGCCAGCTTACGGTTAACAGTTTGAGTGCTAGTTGTCTGTTTCATGAACATCCCACCGCCAAATATTAAGCCGAATCTGCAAGACGCATCTGCGTTTGCAGAGTATGGCCCGCGAGCGGTAGTGATCAACCAGCTACTCTCGGCCGAATGTGTCAAGGAGCCTGCTGGAGCTCACCAGCCGCGCCACTCATTCAGCAAGTAATTACCAGAAACAATAGGCAAAAAAAAAGAAGAAAAAACCCCCCTTGGTTCCTCAGGAATAAGCCACGCTCCGCGACACGAATCAATTTGCGCTGCTTACACACGCACCTATGAGATTCGAGGCGACTCGGGGCACAGTGAGTGCAGCGGGCCAATGAGTGATAGCCAGCGACGCGGGGAAGACCCCGTCGTTCTGGGGGCCGCGACAGATGAGGGGATGGATCGACGTGCTTGCAGTGAAAAATATAGAGAGAGCCGATGGTGTGAAATGAACGAATGCCGGGTCAGGCCAAGGAGGTGTGATGGTCAAACAAGTAGGAGAAATGTGACGGCCAGAGCAGCAAGAGATATGTGATGGAGTTTGTTGTATTCTATTTGCGACTTGCTCATTTGACAGGATAGTTGGGTGTACCCCTGTTGCCCTGCTTGTGGGTAAGGTACTTGGGTTTACTATTGAAAGCTGCGGGTCCGCGCAGGTACTCCGTATATTATAGCGGGCGGGGCATTGTTGAAGCCAAAAGCGTGAAAGTGGTGTTGTTGGAGCTTTTAGCGGGTGGATGGTTGCGATTGTGGTGGTGTCGCCCCCCCCCCCCGTGCCCCCTTGGAAATGAAAATGTGCAGAGTCTTGTTGCGAGGTGGATAGGAAGCGGGGTTGAAGCCGAGTTTTATGTAGCCAAAAAAAAAGAAAAGATGAAAAAAGATGAAAAAAAAATGAATACGGGTTTGCATGTTGGTTTGTAGTCTGTTGCATCGCGATTGTCTCACCTTCCGCTCCGGGAGTCGGCGGCGGCGAAGGATCCGGTTGGGCCAACGGGCACCGCTGCCGAGAACGGGGACGGAGGTGGGAGGGAAGGTGACGACGGCGGAAAATGGGGGGGGAGAGGGGAGGAGGAGGGGAGGAAAGTGCGAGGCGGGGGAGCTGGTGGGCAAACGGCGGGCGCACAATAAGCGTCTTTAGCCACGTGTGTGGGCTATTTAGAGGTGAATCATAGCGAAACAGAAAAAAGAAAAAGAAGAAGAAAAAAAGGTGTAAAAGGGTGCAAAAAGAGTAGGATACGACATGAATCATTTGAGCAAGTTGCGCACAGTCTAGCGTAGTTTACTACATTATGGGAGTGGACGGATTGATATGGCGTATTATTCATTGACTGGCTGGCTGGTTGGTTTGGTTGGTTGCTTAGCTGTGAACGGCGCCCCACATTATGTTGGACCTTCCCTCTTTCCTCTCAAGAGTTGCCCTCTTTGTCCGAAAAATCAATGTCGTCCAGCCCATCCGGGTTCTCACCAACTCGCGACCTCGCCCAGCACGTCCTGTACTTTTTTACCCGTCGCTTTCTCTCTCAGCCTCTCAGCGCCCGCTGTCGCCCTCGTCGCCGCCATGCTACGCATACACAGCACGTAATTCGCCTGGCTGCGTCTCCAGGCACACACGCCAAACCCTCTTTTTTTCCTCTCTCGCTTCCGACAAACCTCTTTTTACTTGCTTCTCTTCCAATCTTCTTCCTCTTCCCGCTTCACTTCTCCCTGTATAACATACACAGCCCGCCTACTAACGCGCGCAAATTCATTCTCTCTCT